AACTTGCTTGACCTTTGACCAGAGGTCCCATCCCGATGCAACAGTGGTCCTTAAAGTCCTTATGTCCTTGAGCTTATAGCATAGTTGGCATATTGAAGAAAGAGAGAAAAGCGCTTCTTTCAAGAAAATTACCATAAAAGGAAATTTTCAAGAAATCAGTGATGAATGGGTGAGAGTTTTTTTTTTTTTCATTTTACTTGATTTTTATATTTTTAGATTTGATAATAATGTTATAAATCATTAATTATTGTTATAAAGAAAAATGATAGGTAGATGATAGGAAATTATAAAGGTAAGTATATCAGGTATAAATGGTATATTAGGTATAAGTAGTATATCAGATATAATAGGTATAATAGGTATAAAGTAAAAATGTATATAAATAACCTGAGAATAGTCAAAAAGTAGGAAGAATCAGAATTGGTACTGTGCAACTGTTAAATAAAAACCATCTTTATTTGATAAACTATTGCATTGTGATTAATCCTAGCGTCGTGTAGCTAACGGAATTGCTACGCGTGAAGTAACCATTGAGGATGCAAGATCGACGGACTGATCTGCATCAGCATTACAAACTCTGGCCAAATTAACATGCCTCTTTTGAGCAGAAACCGCCCAATCATTATATGGTGTTAGACAAATCGAAGTGACTGACTCGCCGTAATTTCATCACAACATTTTTGGTGATGACTGTGAGATAGAACACTATCAACGACACTCGTTACCTCCTCTCCGATTTCTTTTATAGCGATTTTCCACACACGACACTTTAATACATGACATCCACGATCTTGATTATTCCCGATATATTTTTTTTTTACTTTATTGGATATAAGCGACAACGATTAATAATGGAACAGACAAGCATACACACATTTCTTACATATAGCAACATTATCGTATATGATACTCATTACCTGATATTTTTTGTGCGAATCCAAAAATAGAAAGATTTAATTAACTATTGTTCAAACATTCGTTGAAACAAGACATCAAGGCCCATTCACAATACATGTGACATCCTAATTAATATTAATAATCAATGGCATCATAATTAAAATCGTATGTAACACAGATGATGAAAGAGCTTCCCATACCCTTTCATAACAAAAACTCCGAAGAAAACCGGTAAAGGCATTCGCCGACCGAGGACAGATAGCAAGGTCAAAGAAGAAAGAAAAAGAGATCCAGAGGACAAGAATCTGGAAGTTTGGAGGCGGAGTAAAAGGAGACCCACAATCATGGATAAGGCTCTACGACGAAGTCGCCGAACGAAACAACTAGACGAATGACGAAAAACTAAGGAAGATAGGTAAGTACTTAAAAGAGGATGTATTAAAATAGTACAAGGAGAATTGGAATTGTTTTGCCTGTTGGAACGACAAATATGATCACAAAGAGAGTTTTATACCAACATTTGTGCAAATGCTTGAGCAACGATACCAGTGGCAGAAAGAATTAGAAAATATAAAACAGAAAGAAAACAAAAAGGTGGTAAAATACGTCAATAGGTTTGCGAGGCTACTCGAGAAGGTATACCCTGAGAGAAACTATCACAAGAAACTGGCGGAATGGTTGCTGGTGATGGGACTATAGAAGGACATATTGCCTTTACCCACCATTGCAAACGTGACCGACCCAATGGAAGTAATCAGAGCAGCAATGAAAGCCGAAGCTGAGGCCAAAAGAAAATTACAAAAGACCAAGGGGTTAGATCGCATGCGAGAATTAAGAAAACAAATGTGTAAAGTAAAAAAAAGATATTATCAAGTTACCACCTCCACCGCAAGCAACCCGAAAGAAGTGATCAAAAAAAGAAATAGAGGGTACCATAAGTATGAGAAAGATTATGATGATACGTTTGCATTTGAAGAGGAGGTAAACATTGTTAGGGGCAGTAGGAAAAAGACCACTAAGGGGTACCCAGCGAAGATTCCGATCTCGAACGATGAGATCAAGAAGATATCCGCTAACGAGATCATTAATAAGAGACCCGACGGAAACACTGGGCAGAACAAAAAGTCAGGCAATAAAGGAAAGATGAGAGAAGAGAATAGCGAAAGAGAAGTGATAGGGAAAACGAATGATAATCCCAACTTCGATAATGAAGCATAACCGGTAATTCCAGGTCTTGTAGCATACTCTTTCCAATTGGAAGAAATGTCAGCAGCGACCGAAGAGAATCCAGAAAAGGTTAACGAAACTAAGGATAAGGGTGAAGGTCAGTTAAAAGAACAGCGTGAGCTAATAGAGATAGTCACAGAAGAACAAAACATTGAGGTAATGAAAAAACAGCCAGCATCACACAACTTGAAATGCAAAGAAATGTGTGGGAAGGGTAGTCTCCTAAACGAGGAAAGTCATGAACCTGGCGTTGAACTACACTCTTACGTGAATGGAGTAGGAATGGAGTATCATAATGATGATAGGATTATACTCGCAAAACGAGACATCCATCCATCGGAGAGAAACAGAGTAGTGATGGTACCAACTGGTAACATCACGATTGCAAGTTGTGATGACCCAGGAGGACATAGCAAAAAGGAAAACAGAGAATTAGTAATTAATGGCACGAGGTATTGGAACACAGACGGACTTACCATGAAGAGATCTAAAGCAAATAGGGTGGGGTTGAGGTATCGTGATGAAGGATGGATCACGATTTATGAGTGGAATACTCACCCCCCTGAGGATAAAACAGAGTATGAAATGGAAGAAAGGACAATATTCATAAGTACGTGGAAACCATGGGACCCCGAGAATAGCAGAAATGATGATGTTACGGAAGAGGAATCTACAAACGATGAAGAATTAGTAGATAAAGATTATTGGTGGGAGCAATACTATAGAAAAAAGGATACGACCGTCGGTGTGCCTAATAACCACCAAGATGATAGGGACGAAGTAGTGTTAGTACCAACCAGTGTCATCACGATTATAAGTTGTGATGATCCAGGAGGACATGGTAAAAAGACAAACCGGGAATTAATGAGTAGTGGCACAAGGCATGGGGATATGGATGGACTTATTGATGGGAGATCTGATGTGAGTGGAGGTGAATTGGGATGTCATGAGGATGGAAGGACGATAACTGATGACTCTCCTGATAAGGATAAAATGGAGGATGAAATGAAAGGAGGGACGGTGGTGATGAATGCAAGGAAATTATGGGCACCCGGATACAAAAAATGGTGGCAACGGACGAATACACTCAAGAAGTTAATGATAGCATATGTAGACGTCATTGCAAAACTAATACATTGCACAATGATGATCATTGTTATGATGATTCTGATAACCAATGAAACTGTCTCGAAATCTGAGTGTGCAGGAATAGTGCGATATATTGGTAGCATTAGCAGGAAGGCCGGTGGTGCACAGAAGGATGGAGGGAAAGAGAGCGTGAAAAGAGAACACAACAAAGGTTACAACTAACAAAGATATGTACCGACCACATCATTATTAAAGCAAGTGCGAAAAAGGGATAGTGGTGTAAGCGAAAAAGTAAAAATTGTGATACGTGCTATGGGCGATGATTGCTTGTAGTACTCGCAAACAAGAAGGAAAAGGAAAATTGTAAAAAAAAAAAATGGAATGGATGGATGAGAAAGTGGGATAAAAAGAGAAATGGGATAGTGTTAGTTTAAGTATAGTTTAGAATTTATTTAACGATGACATTAGATTAGCTTATCGTGTTTAGTTTTGACTTTTAATTTCTACGATCAATTGATTATCAATTATCCCCTTATTTTTACCTGATTGATTGGTATTTTTACTTTTATTTTTTTCTATTTTTACTTTATTTTGAAAGAAGCGAAAAAAAAAATCGGAAAAATCAGAGAAAATTTTTGAGCGAAAAAAAAAATATATATATATATTTTATTTTCATTTTTTTATTAGTATAGTAGTTCTTATTTTTGAAATTATACAAATAGTTAAAAATACCTATAACCTTTTTGATCTTTTATTTCTTGTGATTTATGTGAATGAATAATATTGGATTCAGATATAGCTATAGACAACCTTGATTCCTAGAGATAGGACTCCATAGCATATGCTGATTAAGGGCTAGTTAGCCATAGCACCCTAGGTAATATTATCTTTGAAGCAGATTGGTGTTTGAGGCTATAGTATTCAAATTATATAATTCATATAAACAATTTTTGAATAATTGTTTGGATAAGTTTTATTATTTTACCTTTATTTTTATTTCTTTATTATTATTATTGTGCCTTATAATTACATGAATAATTTCTTATTTTTATATTATTTTTGAAATATTGGGAAGAGAAGGGTATCCTTTAGCTACTGTATGGATTACAGTACCCAGGCTATACGACGTAAACGTAGATACCATGATAGCCCAGTTTTCAACTTGTCCAAACACAAGTATTATTGAACCCTTGAATGGAAGAAGGAATCTAAAAGCACTAAGAGAAACAAGCGAGAAATGCAGTGTAATGGAAGTGGCCCACAAAGCAACTCCTTATCCATTACAGCTGGCTCACAAAGCATACTCAATGACTACTGCATTTCCCATTATAAATCCATAAATGATAAAAGAGAAAAACTTGAAACCAGTAAGGAGAAAAGCAAACCTCTAATTGAGTTCAAAGGTGGAAAAAGACCTATCAAAAGGAGCTGGAGCTGGAGTTCCTAACAATTGGAGAAGTCCTTCTAGCCGAGCCACCCTATTTTTCAAATTTAAATTTTCCAACTCCAACTTCCTATTACGACAGTGAAGGGAGCGAGTGTCAGAAAGTGTTTCCAAGTCTGCTTTTAACTTGGTAACTTCTTCTTCCAAGGTTTTGGACCTTTCTTCACGACATGCCAAACGTTTCAAAATTTTAACCCTTTCTTGAAGTATTATTATGGTTTCCCAGAAAGGGTCTTTGCAATCAAAGCAAGTAAGGTGAATAGCTTTGGAGATGCGGTTTTCCCTAGGCATAATTTTAACAATTAAAGAATGAAAAAGTTGAAAAGATTAGTGCTAAAACTATTGGTTTAACTAGCAATAATTCTTATTGTGGATAATACAAAAGTAGTATTTGGCAAATAAGTCTTGAATATAATGTGGCAAGCACGGGAATACTGATCAATAAGGATATAGTGAATCAGCATGGGAATACTTGATAAGCCTTGCAAATACTTGAGTACTCTTACCAACTTAGGAATATTGATTGTTAAAAGAAGGTGACTATAGAATTTCCAAATCAGGATAAAGTTAGGAATCACTCGTGATACTCATGATTTAAGGAGAGGAAAATGTTGTAGAGAAAAATGATGGGTAGATGATAGGAAATTATAAGGGTAAGTATATCAGGTATAAATGGTATATTAGGTATAAGTGGTATATTAGGTATAATAGGTATAATAGGTATAAAGTAAAAAATATATAAGTGACCTAAGAATGGTCAAAAAGTAGGAAGAACCAGAATAGATATTGCGCAACTGTTAAATAAAAACCATCTTTATTTGATAAACTATTGCCTTGTGATTGATCCCAGCGTCACGTAGCTAACAGAATTGCTGTGCATGAAGTAACCATTGAGAACGCAAGATCGACAGACTGATCTGCATTAGCGTTACGAACTCTGGCCAAATTCATATGCCTCTTTTGAGCAGAAACTGCCCTGATCATTACATGACATGAAACAGATCGAAGCGACTAACATGCTGTAATTTCACCACAACATTATATTAAAAATAACTAATTGATTAGAAAATTTTTTATTAACTAAAATTATTATTTAGTAGTTTATATTAACTGGTTTCTTTAAAGTGTTTACTAAAAGATTAAAAAGTTAAAAAATTTATATAATATAATTTGTTATATTTTTTAAAAAGTTGGATATTTTATTTGACTATAATAATTCTTAAATTTGATGATTAAATTAACTTGAAAATACAAATTCAAAATATTTACTAAATATATATATATATTATATTGAATTCTATAAAAAACTCAAAGTATATATAAATAAATAATACAATATTAAAAAAATATTAATTGTTAACAACCTATGGGTCTATAGCATAGTGGTAATGCTCCATAGGTTACCAGGAGAAGGTCTAGGGTTCAAACTTACCTGGTTACAAAAAATTTATCACCTTCATAATTGGTTGACTGGCTTCCAATACATGTCATATCCAATTAGCCGAAAATCATCTATCAAATCAAACTAGGCTGCATGAAGATGTAATCTCTGGTCTTTCTGACGATCGCGGGCTGAAACAAGGTCGAAGCAGGAAAGGTTGCACGAGGAAAGGCTTCTGGTCTAACTCCGGTATAAGCCCATAATCCTAATTAGAACGGCAGACTCCGTATCACTATTCTTCCTATTCAGGTTGGCTAGTTTCCTGATATAGGTCGTACTTAATCAGCTAGTACCCCAAAAACCAGATCAGCAGACTCCGAAATTCGATTGGACCTCCACCTCCCTACTTGATGTTGGCGCAATTCGGATTGATGACCCAATTGTTGAGAGAGTCGAGTCGCAAGCCAAAAAGGAGACTGCTAGGAAGATTTTTTACTGTTGATACAAGATTTTCCTTATCTTTTATTTATAAGTAGGGAGTTATAAGCATAAACCAGGGTATGGACCTACCGACTGGGTGTAAGTTGGTATTTTGGTAAAAAGCATGATAGGCTAGGATTAATTTACAAATATATAAAAGATTCTTAATATAATGGCTATAAACTCTTGTTTAATAAAAAGTCTCGCATTTAATGCCTGTTTGTGATTAAAAAAAAATATATATATATATATTGTTAGCCTGGTAAAAGTCACATGGTATAGTCACGTACCCTGGAAATTTAGAATAGCATTAGTAATTAGCATAGGGAATGTAGTCATAGAGGCTTATGTAACTTACCCATAGTTTATTTTAGCCCCGAT